CGGCGCGCTGTGGCTTCAGAGGACCACGCTCACCGAACACAGCGGGGACATCGTGACCCGCCTCCGGCTCCCGGCACCGGACTGCTGGTCTCCGGTGCTGGTGCCGCCCGGGCCACGCTCTGAGACTCTGGAGAAGGCTTGTGCCGGCGGCGCTTCACTGGCCACGAGTGACACCGGCGCCATCTGCTTCTGGCCAAATGGCGAAGCATTTGAGCATTTGCTACCGGCTCGGATGACGCCGCCTGCGGGCTCTGCGACCTCGGTGCGGACGGGGAGCTCATGACCTATTCCCACGACAACACCATATGCGGGATCACCTCTGTCTCGTCCTCCTCGCTGGGTAGGACAGAGCAGGTGTCTTGGCTGGACGGGACAACCGCGTCAGCTGCCGGGTGGGGGGGTGGCCGGGTGACGGACAATGGCATGGTTGTGGCGATAGGGGTCCTGGGACAGCTTCCCCAAGATCTGGAACTAACCCTAGCAGCAGGTGGACGCCCAGTGACTAGAAGACCTCTCTCATCCACCCCACCAACGGGGACACCCACACCCCTCAGAATTTCAAAGGGCAGGATCTTTTCCCCTTCACTTATTGCTGAAATCAAGAGCTCAGTTCCCGTTGAGAGAATGGTCTCTGTGCTGTAAACTAAAGCAAATTGTGCATTCCTTCGTGAGCCATTCCTTCGTGAGCCATTGTCTTTGTTTCCTTTTTTTGTCTTGGATGAATTTTAAAAGGAAAAACTACAATTAAAACGTTTGGTTTGGTTTGGGTTTTTTGAGACAGGGTCTCACTACATACTTGAGAATGACCTGGAGCTCACTACGTAGCCCAGGCTGGTCTCGAACTCACAGCAAGTGCTGGGATTACAGGCGTGCGCCGCCACGCCCTGCTACAATTAAAATGTTAATCAGGAGGTGTGGTGTTGTGGTGTGTGCACATCTGCAAACCCAGCACCCAGGAGATTGAGGCAGGGGATCATGAGTTTTTGAGGCCACGCTGGGCTGTAGAGGCAGAACCTATCTTCAAAAGCTGAAAAAGAAGGAAAGAAAAGAAAAAGGAAGGAAGGAAAACAAAGCAGCAGAAAGAAAAATAAAATGAGAAGTTGACTAAAAACAGTTTAGATATTTGAATTATCTAGCACAGGATTCAAAATAAATATCTTAAGCCCAATGTGGTAGTTCACACTTGTAATACCAGCACTGAGGAGGCTGAGGCAGGAAGATTGTTGAGAGTTCAAGGCCAGCCTGGGCTGCACAGTGAGTTCAGCCCAGCCTGAGCTGCAAAGCAAGACCTTGCCTCAAAAAAAATCTAAATAAATAAAAAAAATCTTAATAAGTATCTAACAATATTTATATCTTAATATCTTAAAAATAAAAGCCTGTAAAATTACAGTGAAGATTTTAAAATAAGCATATAAAACTTTTGAAGTGAAAAATATACTAAGTGAAATTTAAAACCCAATGGAAATATTCAGCAGCAAAAGTGAAGAAAAAAAACAGTGAACTGGAAGATAGATGTCAAAAAAATTACCCAAAGAACAGAAAGACAAATACGAAGCAGAAGAAAAGGGGGAGAGTGAGGGGTCTTAACACAGATTCGATCACAGTTCCAGAAGAGGAGGAGCAAGATGATGGCGCAAAGGCAATGTTGGAAACAGAAAATCGCTGAGAACTTTCTAGACCTATCGATGACAAGGAAGCACCAAGCCGCAGACTAGGAAATGTAACGAATCATGAGGAGTGCAAGTAAAAATAGACCCACCTTTGCAAGCAGCATAGTGAAACTTCAGGACACTCGGGGTAGACAGTATTTGAAAGGCAGTACGACAGGAAATCCTCAAAGGGACAATTACAGAATCATAGCTGACATTTCAACAGTGACAGAAGTCAGGAGACAGTGGCAGGGCAGGAGGAAGTAAAAGAAAATAAAGAGACCGAAGAGAGGGAGGAGGAGATGGGGGAGAGGAAATAACCCAAGAGGGGGAACAGGACGTTGTGCAATTTAAGAAATTAGAAAGGCAAATATAATAAACCCAAAGGAAATACTGAAGATAAAATCAGAAACTAAAGCCAGGGGCTGGGGATTTAGCTCAGTGGTGTTGCCACCTGCAAGGTCTATCCCAGATACAAAAAAAAAAAAAAATCTCAGCCTTTTGGCTAAAATCAAGTGAAAATAAGGCTGGGCTTGGTTGCCCACACCTGTAATCCCAGCACTCTGAAGGCTGAGGCAGGTGGATCACCGTGAGTTCAAGGCCAACCTGGGATAAATGGTGAAACTCTTATCTAAAATATATATATACTTAGGGAAAAGGACAACAAAAACACTATTGAAGCCATAGAAATTAATATAGTATCAGGACATTAATAATAATTTAAGAGAATTACATTAGAAGTAATGCTTTTCTGGCCAGGCATGGTGGCTCACGCTTGTAATCCCAGCACTGGGAAGCTGAGGCAGGAGAGACCAGCCTGAACTACATACTGAGTTCCAAGTCAGTCTCAATTACATAGTGAGACCCTGTCTCCAAAAACCAAAATAAAAAAAAAGTAATGCTTTTCTGCTTGTGCCTTAATTTCCACACTTTGAGGTCTAAAATAATATTATTAATATATTTATCAATATTGCGGGGATTTAGCTCAGTGGTGTCGCTGCCTGCCTTGCAAGAGCAAGGTCCTAAGTTTGATCTCCGGTACCTAAAATAAAATACATAAGTATATAACATTATATATAATATATATAGTATATATAATATACATAATATTGTCAATAATATGATTAACCTTCAGAAGATAAACTAGGACTGAGGCAAGAGGATCACTGCAAGTTCAAGCCCAACCTGGGTTGCATAGAGAGACCCTGCCTCAAAAAATAAAACAAAACACACACATACAAAAGGAAGATAAACTAGGATAGAAAAGATTAAGAAATTTAGTTGTAAAATGTTTCTGCATATCAGTTGCTGGTATAAAAATCCCAAGAGTCTAAGAGCATCTTATTTTCAAATAGCTATACTTGTAAAAGTTGCTGAATAATGTAGTACTGTATTGCTCAATTTTAGAGGTATGATGCAAAGGAAGTCATTGCTATGTGGGACCTCCCATTTGAAGGCACTAAGAAAAATTCCAACACTAGGATTTGGAGTTGATGAGAGGAGATTGACAGGGTCATAAAATTGAAAACAAACGCAGAGTACAGTGGAACTTGTGGTTCTACTTATAACCACTGTGCCTAGCCCATTGCGGTAGACGCTCTGCCTCAGTAAGTCTCTATGTTTTTATCCCCCACTATCAAAGTGATTGAAGGGCTGGGGTTTGGCTCAGTGGTTCCATCGCCTGCCTAGCAAGTGCAAGGACCCGAGTTCCATCCCCAGTGCCAAAAAAAAAAAAAAAAAAAAGTGATTGAAGTAGCAATTAAATTAAATCAAAATTTTTAAAAATTAAAAGGTTGTCAATTCCTTCATTGAGCTAAACACAACTTAAATATTTGGCAAAGTACTACAATTACCTGCATACCTGACAATTTATTTACACTACCCCAGTCCTTAACAGAGAGAGAGAGAGAGAGAGAGAGACACAAAGAAAAAGAGACAGAAACAGTGAGAGATTAATTTTTAGGCCCTAATCTGGAAAGCCATATAAGGGCGGGGATTTAGCTCAGTGGCACCACACAAGGTCCTGAGTTCCATCCCAAGTACCAGAAAACAGAAAGAAAGTGATATACAACTATATTATTAAATAAGTAAAAGTATTTGCAAAATATAATGTATATAGTCCCATTTCTATAAAAATGTTTTCATACATATTTATATATGTATATTAAAAACTTGAAATACTATTCAAAACTCAACATTGTTATCCTGGAGAGAAGAGAGAGGGCTGCTAGAAGGGAATTGCACTGTGTATATTTCTGTCGTGTTAAAGATTTTATAATGAGAAGTATTAATACAATTAAACATTAAAATTTTATCTGGTGAAATAAATTCTGAGAGAGTGGGATGTTTCTCCAAGGAACTCATTTTGAATTAATTTTTTTAATTAATTTTCTTGTACTGGGGATCAAACTCATGACCTTGCGTGTGCAAGGCGAGCATGGTACCACTGAGCTAAATCCCTGACCCTTTTGAAAATTAATTTTATCGGTATCTTGTAGATGGGGACTAATTTGGGGGCTCTCTCTTCTTACACAAAAACTCTCCCAATCTGCTCTCCTCCTACAAGCTTTTCCATCCCCTAGGAATTCTCTCATCAAGAAAATGTTGAGAACCTGCCCCTGTGATGGAAGGGGTTGCTGCCGCTTCCCTTCTAAGGACTCCATTCTGAGCCTAGAATCCACCTGCTACTGCCCTTCTGGTGACAGAGACAGCGCAGGACCCAAAATAATTAATTACAGGTTAAAACTGACTGAGCCCTTCTCACAATAAGACTTGGAATCCCGGTAAAGACCTGGTCTGGGTCTGGGCATTTAGCTCGGTGGCAGAGTGTCAGCCAGGCAAGCACAAGGCCCTGAGTTCGATTCCTGGGACAAAAACACAAAACAAAACCTGTTCTGGAGGATTCCAAGTGGACAACAAACTTATTCAGTCAAAATATGAGGGCACGACCCCTACATCAACTGGCCTGAATAAGATAGATAATGAAATAGCCTAATACTTACATTCTAGTTTAGCCTGGCAGGGTAGCTCTGGACAGAGAGGATTTTGAAGCAACACAAAGACCATCATACGTGGGAAGCCATCCACAAACATGACCCTAAAATGCAGATGTGGACACATATGGCAGTAAGTTTGGAGCGTTCAGAGGAGCACCTGCACCGTGGCTAGTGACCTTTCCTCCCTAGGACAATGGAAGAGACAACCACTCAGGAGCTAGGTGCCCTCCTAGCTCCACTATGGATGTTAAGGGGGTGGAATTCTAAGGGTATTATTTTCTGTCTTTTGAAATGTCATCCCTTCTTTCAAACCTAAATACCACCTTCTTCAGAGAACTTTTCCTAAATAAAGCGAAATGCCTATGCACGCCTTTGTAGTAATGTAATAGTTCATTAAACTACACCCTTCCATCATCACCTTACTAGACTACAGGAAGAAATCGTGTTTTGGCTTGTAATGTTTTCCACAGTGCCTAGTGTGAGGCTGAGAACATCGCAGAAATAATTGGTTGGTGGAAGTCGAGAGGAAGAAACCATCAGGCTTCCTGAAGTTTCCCGCCCTTCCTCCCAGTTTAGACAGTATATACCTGCATTCTCAAATCAGAGCGCCTGAGCTTCAACCAGACCTGGTATCTTTTTTTTCTGAGGAAAGCTGTCCTGAATGTAAATTCAGTCTCAAAGCACTACAAAGAACAACCAGGAAAGCACAGTCCCTCTAAATCCCCTCCGGGTACCAGGCTCTTTCTGTGTGTATGTGTGTGGGTAGGGGATGCTTGTGATGTGGTGGGTGGGGAAAAGCGAGAGAGAGGGAAGAGAGACTGCAGGCAGTGATTATGTGGAGGGATTTGCTATGTCCCCCCTCCCTCCTTTGTCCTCTTTCTCCTCGTCCCCTTCTGCATTTGTCTGGGAGGATCCTGGAGGGTTCTTTTGATCGACTCAATCTTTCTCTGGCACTTGAGCTCTGATTGGCTGAAGGACTTGGGGCGAAAAAACTTTAATTAAGTAGATAATCTCTTCTTTGGACGTTTGGCAGCTCCATTTCACCTCCCCTTAACTCTGTTTGGGATCGCTTACACACCAAGGAAGTTGGGCTTTGAGGAGAATTCCATTCCACTACCACTGAGAATACTTCTCATCTTGCTTCTGTCTCCCAGTTTTTCAGAATTTTCTCCCTGTGTTACTCAGAAGATTATGTTTCTCATGAAGCCTTCTGTGTGCATCTTTCTTTTCACCTGTGTCTTCCAACTCAGCCACCCCTGGTAAGTAACCGGGACTCCTGCCTACCTGGTACTGGGAATAGGTCAGTGTATTGTAATATGTGGGACAATGTTCATTTTCATTTCCAGAAGTGAGATTTCTGCTGGCAAAAAGCACCCTATGAAACAGGGCTCTTCCTAAAGTGATGGCTGGTTTCAGAAAATCTTTAGGGCCCTCAGTGTACCAAATCTTTATATCGGCATTGTGGACAAGAGGAAGTGCTTTAAAATAGGTTCTGGTATGTGTTCAAGGTGAGGGCTGGAGATAGGGCCTGACCCTGGACTTTCCAACCTAACTCTAATTTTTTCAGAATGTTTTAAGTAAATCTCTTTTGTTGTCACTTCCCTGGACATTAAAAATGTATTTGAGCTGCTAAATTGGTATTGGATAAACAAACACACTTGAAATAAAAGATTTTAAAAATATAAACCTCTACAAATGTATTTAATGCGTTCAATTTATTTTGAAATGTTTAAATTGCTCAGAAAATAAGACAATGTAGGTGAAAGTGTTTTGCAAACTGTGAATCACTGCATAAGCTATAGATAATATTATCCTTCTCATTTAGCTCTTAGAAACACATACACCGTCTATGTTACACGCAGTGGTTACTAAACAAGCATATGATAACGCACAGAAGCACAGCTTGCAAAAATTATGCTGTTGGAGTTTCCCCCCAGCTCACATACAAGTTCAGCCTCTTTTATCAGTTCTATTTTGGACCATCTACTTAACCAATATACAAATCCAAGTGCTTTGTAAAACGTCTGGAAAGCTAGAATAAAATTTTTTTTTCCTGAAAGAAGCTTCTGGTGCTGATTGAGAGTGTATCCTTATCATAAATGAGACTAGCCATCTTTATTGGAGGGTTGATTTCAAAATATGTCAACCTAGTAAATTAGCTGCAAGTAAGTGCAGTCATTTGTAGCATTTCCAGAAGCATAAAAAACTGGTAAAATGTTGTGTCATTTTAACTGAATATTTCAACATTTAAAAACTCTTCTGTCTCCTTCATGAGAACAAAAAGACAAAAGGGAGAGGCGATTTCAGAGTGTTTCTACTGATGTTCATGGTATTCTTCAGCTGATTCAGTATCAGCAAAAGAGAAACACGAGATTCCTTTCCCTGGTCACCAGGGCATTGTGAAGAATTGCTCTGTAAAAATACCTTTACTGTGTGTCCTCTTCCCTGCTGAAGGGGTCATGTCTGTTTCATTCCCGTACTGACACAGCCCCTCTGAAAGGTGGCTGGGCGGCTTGTCTGTCCAAATTCAAGTGTCTGGATTCAAAAAGAAAAAAGAAAAAGGAGATGTGAAAGAAGTTCTAATTTAAACACAGGGTCTCAGAACTCCCTCTTGCCCTGCCTGAGTTGGAGTAGAAAATGTGCAAATTGTCTGTATAATGCAGTTAGATTTTAATTGATTTTTTTCCTATAAGTCTCAGTTTGAATTAAACCTTTGTACTCTGCCCAAGATTCTGTTCTGGGGTAGCATTTGAAATGTGAGTTTTAAGTTTAACACTGTCTCGGTTACTCTTATAATGAAACAATCAAGGTTTTGCATAAGGTCATCATCCCCTTTGTGCCAGCAGAAAAGTTTGACCAACCACATCCTTTGAGATGTTTCTCTTAATACTTCATTATCAACCTTTTATGTAAGGACCTCAAAGGCATTTAACATATAGAGAACCATGATTCGTGCTTGGCTGTTCTGATGCAGGCCTGCCTGAAACAGCTCTCTCAAAGGGTCCAGCAACAGCAATTCTTGGGCTCTTGAAAACAGGAGAATAACGATGACATTAATCCACAATATGTGGTTTTACTGAGCAAGTCAGTGTAAGATTAATAATTATTATTAGTAGTAGGAGAATTGGCCACATTTTTCTTCATGGTGGGACACTTCAAGGAGGGTTATCCTTTGTAACTTGGGTAAAATCTTTCCCTTTGTTTTTCTTAATCTTTATGGTTCCTGAAAATAGAATGGGGGGTACACGAAACAGCTGAGAAGATGGTAATGCTTATAATACAGCCAGAGATGAACCAATGCGATTTTTTGCACTTGCAATACTCTTACTAATCTGGAATGAACAGGCCTGTATATGATATTTTTCTTTAAACACTGACCCCATTTTACTTGAAATGATGTCCTACAATGCTACAGGTCTTGTCCAGCTCTCTCTCTCTCTCTCTCTCTCTCTCTCTCTTTCTCTCTCTCTCTCAAAACCAGAGAGATGTAGCAGGATGTGGAGGTAATCTATGCCTTACTCTTATTCCTTCATTTCTTTCTAAAGTGTGTAGTATGGGTTCAGACAGGGTCAGTTTTTCTTCTGCAGTAGGGTAAAATTTTGTCTGACGTATTCGGATTTTTAAGGCAATGTTTGAGGAAACATCATTGTTTGGCTCTCGGTATTTAGGTTTTTAGAATAACCTGTCCATGGATATTGAAATTTCATCTGATAATAATATTCCAGAGCCCTGACAAATGAAGGAATTTTTTGTTTTTGCTTTTTGCCGTGCTGGGGAAGAACCCAGGATCTTCTGCATGCTAAGTGAGTGTTCATCACTGTGCTGTGGCCGCAGCATGGGAGTCAGTTATTATAGAAGCATCTTTATACCCATATCCTCTACAAGCCCTGCTTATAGATAAAACTATTGCTCTCCATATAAATCTGCTACTATTTTTAGATATATATAGTGAACAGTGAAACACAAGTTTATTTTAAATTATTGAATTCATCATTTTTTTATTTTTATGTAAATATTTTCCACAAACAGATATTAAAAGAACAAGTTCAGGAAAGTAAGAGTCTACTACACTTGTCCCATTAGTAAAGGAGTCTCCTCCTCAAGGAGGTTGTGATCTCTGAAAAGAAAAAACAAAAGATGTGAGGAGCTGCTTTGGAATCTGGAAAGCAATACACTGATGTAACAGAGGCACTCACCTAGTGACTTCCTGGGCCCATTAAAAGATGCAGAACCCACAAAAAGCCTGGAAACCCAGGTGTGGCTGTGAGAGGGACAAGATGAGTATCAGTCCTGCAGGCTGAGGGCTTGGGACGCCACCAGAGTAGTGCCATTCCCAGTCTGTCCTGGCTTACACGTGGAAGACAGTAATTATTATTATACTGATTGTCAACAAAACTGATGAGATCCCAGAAAGAAGTGACAATTCCTTCAGGTTTACTTGTGAAAACTGGACTGTGAAAGTAATGCGTTGAGCACAGCTTCAGTGTGTCTGGGGTGTGGTGTGTGTGTGTGTGTGTGTGTGTGTGTGTGTGTGTGTGTGTGTGTGTAGGATACTATGATATCACTATGACATGCAGCAGGAGCTCCAATTTGTGATGTTACACAGAGAGAAAGTGGGCATGAAAAAGGGACCAGAAGCAAAGGAGTTTTAATCCAACCCTTTCTCTTCCACGGAGATCACTCTTCTTCCTGGTTGGACATTGGTTTAAAGCTGGCCCTATATCAGGTAATACTATTCTTTCATGGATTTAAAATAAAATTCCTTTACATGGGGCTCAAAGCACTCATTTCTATTTCCATTAGAAAAGCTGAGGAGAATTCATATGGCTTGAAAAGTGAGGTCAAGACAATTTTTCTTAGGACAAATCCTTATTTTTCTGAAAGCAGATTTTTCTTACTAAGTAAAGGATCGGGTCCTTTACTGGGTAAACAGTTGGAGGAAACTCTGAGCTTGGTTCCCATCAAAAGTGTTTCCTCTTACCTTCCACTTGAGATATACCCAGACTCTGAGGCTCTCAGAAGAAACTACCTCGTGCTGTGGACAGACAGTACTAGGAGCGAAACTTTCACGGTTTGATTGATTGTCTCCGTCTGTACTACAAGTCCCATGATTGACTGCATCGTTTCTCTGCATGCTTCTTAGGTGAGAGCTTTCTCTAGGCCAAGAGGAAATGACCTGAGGGGTCATTTAAATTCGCCACTACCTGACCAGCCCAAGTTCATTTTCTAAATGGGCTGTGTTCCCAGCTTCAGAATCCTGGGGAACCAACACCTTATGAGGGGATGTTCCAGTGTGCCAACCAGACTCCGTAAGATGGCTGATTGTTCAGTCTTTCTATCCAGCTCCACAGATGAAATTATTTTCTTCTCCAGGCCTCATGGAACCCATCTGCGCAAGGAGTTTTCCTGTCACTCAAAACTGTGCTTTCCTTTCCTTGTCACAGCCTCAGTGCTTTTCCTACTCTCAGGCTCTTCAGGTCCACGCTGTCAGACTAGGAAAATCCCACCTCATACCAAGATCCAGGAAAGGAAGAGCTGACCAACAGCTCATCCCCACGGTCCTGCCTGACACTTCTCACTTCATCCGAGCCATCCGCGGAGCCCAGGTTACTGCCTTGAGCGTGTTGTTTGGTTTTAAATTTTATATCGTGGAAGTTTTTATTTTCTTTTACAAAGATAGAGTAAAGAGATCTGTAATGAACACCCTTAGCTCAGCCTCAGCCACTGTGAATCCTTGCCCAATCATGGTACAGCATTTTCAGATGTGCTGTGTTTCTCCCAGCTGAAGCCATCCAAACACTACCGTGGTCGGGAGCAGAAAGATAAGGGAAAGGGAAAGGACTCCCCTGTGCTGTGTCTGAGAGATCTGTGGTGAGGAACTAGAAGGAGCCTTGGGAAATATTTCACGGAGATGATTGCCACTGGGTTGGAGCTGGGAAAACCAGATTATAAATTAGCCAACAAGGATGAGTTATTCAAGTGCAGGTTTGAGTTTATTTCTTCTTCAGCAGTGGCTGGTTGGCAAAGGCAACAGAAATTGATGGATGGATAGGACCCGAGTTCAATCCCCAGTTCAAAAAAAAGAAAGAAAAGAAATTGATGGATGGAGAAGATGAGAAGAGAATTTTTTTTTCTTTTTCTTTTTTTTCTTTTTTTTTTTTTTTTCGATTGTTTGAGACAGGGTCTCACTATGTAGTTGAGACTGACCTGGAACTCACTGTGTAGCCCAGGCTGGTCTTGAACTCACGGCGATCCTCCT